CTCTCTTGTTTTGTTTCCATTTGTTTTTAAATAAACAGAGAAGAGAAGAGAAAAAGACTAACACTAGACCCTAGTTTTTCTGTTTGGCATTTAACAAACATTCATTAATCCATGTAGGGCCGTGCAAAAAAATTGGTTCACTTGCTCTGTCTTTGATCCGACCTTGACCCGACCCATAAATACCCATATTTTTTGAACTGGTTTAAATACTGACCCACTTTTATTTGGGTCAGTTTTAGACCTGACTCGTTTTAATATTGACCCACTGACCCAAAACTTGACCCATACCCATTATGTGAAAAAAAATCACAATTACATTAAAAGAAAAGTTTTAAAGTAAAACAATTACGTCAAAATTTTTTATGGAAAATATTTTTATAAAAATTTTACAGATTTCAAATTTCTGCGAAAGTTTTCAACGGAAATATTTCCGTCATCAAAAAATTTTGACGGCAAAAAATTTCATCAAAATTCTTTACAGATTTCAAATTTCGGCGAAAGTTTTCGACAGAAATATTTTCGTCATCAAAAAATTTTGACGGCAAAAAATATCGACGGCAAAAAATCTCATCAAAATTCTTTACAGATTTCAAATTTCGGCGAAAGTTTTCGACGGAAATATTTTCGTCATCAAAAAATTTTGACGGCAAAAAATTTCATCAAAATTCTTTACAGATTTCTAATTTTGGCGAAAGTTTTCGACGAAAACATTTTCGTAATCAAAAAATTTTGACGGCAAAAATATTCATCAAAATTCTTTACAGATTTCAAATTTCGGCGAAAGTTTTCGACGAAAAAATTTTCGTTAAATTTTTTGACAAAAAAAATTTTCGTCGAAATTTTTAGCGAAACACATTTCCATCGAAAATTTTCAACTAAATATTTTCGTCAAGTTTTTTGATAAAAAATTTCCATTAAAATTTTCAACGAAACACATTTCTATAAAAAAATTCCGTAAATTTTTTTGACAAAAAAAACATTTTGACGAAAAAAATATTCTGTCAAAATTCTTTAGAGAATATAATTTCGTCAAAAGTTTCAAATGAAACATTTCCCTCGAAATAATTTTCGTCAAAATTTTCGTTAGAACACATTCCCATAGAAATTTTGAACGAAAAACATTCCGTTAAATTTTTTGACAAAATTCTTTTTTCGTTTAAAACATTTGATGGAAGAAATCATTTTCGTCAAAACTGTTGACGGAAACTAAATTTCAATAGAAATTTTTTTTTTGTACAAATTTCGACGAAAAAATAATTTTGTGACGAAATTTTCGTCTTTTGCAACGTAAAAATTTCGACAAAATTTTGTGAGAAAACCAAGTCAAAAACGGGTCAGGTCAGATTTGACCCAGTTCAGAAACCAAGTCAGACCCACTTCAGAAACCAAGTCAGGTCAGATCCAAACTGGTTCTGAACTAGTTCAACAAAATCCAATCCAAGTCAGACCTGACTTGGATCAAATTAAAGCGGGGCGGGTCAAAATACCTGACCTATAAAAACCAAGTGGGGTCGAGTCGGACAAAAACCTGACCCGACCTGACCCATGCACAGCCCTAAATCCATGGGAGTGGATCCTCTCACGTTAACATGATCATGTTATGTGGAGCAATCATGATCATATATCATATATGGGTGAGTTAATGATGATAAGGGAAGAGAGAAAAAAATATACATATAAGAAGTTATACAATCATCACTGTTAATTTAATTATTAATGGTTAAGATCCTCTCACATAATATGATCATGTTAAATTATACATGAGATGATCAATTTCCTTAATCCATTGATTCATCGCACCCGAATGAAAAAGGAAGACATGTGAGCAAATGAGGGTTAAAATTGTCATAAAAATAGTTTGATATTTTTCCACCGGTGGGAATATAAAAATACCACACACCTGGTAGTACTTTTACATGGAATTTTGTTTCATAAATTGGAATATCATGAATCTGATTTTTTTCAGAATTTTTTTTCGGAATCCTTATATCAAATTAAGGGAGGTGTATTGGATTAAAATTTTAAAAGATTTTTTTGAGATAAGAAATCCTACTACATGATTTAAAAGACATTGTAGAATTGGAGAGATTTTAAAGCCTTTTTTGACAATCAAAATTTCATAAGATTGAATTCTAAAGGATTTTAATAGAATTTATAAGATTTGAAAGGACAATATAGATTTATAAGATTTTAAAAAATCATATGAATTTTTAACAAACATTCAAAATTACAAGAGTCAATACAAAAGGGAAATGTTATACTTACAATCTATTTTTGTTTACAACATTTTACAACCATATCTTAATCGTTGATTTTCGTCAATATCATTCATTACAAATTAATTATTAATTAATGAGTTTGATTTGAAAATTTTATAACCATTGATTGACGAAAATCAATGGTTAAGATATGGTTGTAAACAGAAATAGGTTGTAAGTATAATCTTCCCCATAAAAAATAACAAAGAAATGCAATGAAATTAATAAAAAAAAGCAAAACCTAATATAATTTTCTCAATCAGTAAAACATACTATAATTTTTAACAAACATTCAAAATTACTAAACAATAGCTTTTCACATATCTAATGAGTTAAAAATTATCTTCTTTATTTGGTATCAAAGCTATGCATATATGATTATAAGATCCAATTTTTTTAATTATAAAAATAATTCTAAATTTGCATATAGAACCTAAAGTTCATGATAAAATTTCGTTTGAAATTTTTGCAATTGATCTTAAAAACCTTGGAGTTTTTGGAATTTTCTAACCATATGAATCTGAAATGTTGGGTTTAATTACATGAAAGTTTAGAAAATTTCTCAATTTTTTTTCAATCGATACATTGAAACCTTAAATTGTTTTGGGACTTTTAAGAAACAAGCTTTTAGTTATTTATTTATGCAAAAATTATTTGAAATCGTTTCCTATAGTGAAAGAATTTCGTTCATGAATGTATTGTTACGAAATATAGGGTTCATATTATGAAAATTTCAATCTTTCTTTAAATTGATACTGTTTCATTGATGTAAAACGCAAATTGGTTTGAGGGTTTTAGTTCTCCTGTTATTTTTCCACCGTTTTATGTTATTTTTAATACAAAAATTACACATTTTTGTGCCAAGAAAAACCGTAACCCATAGCTTGAAAAATCACTCTTTAAACTTCCAAAATTTCTAAAAAAAAAGGCTAAAAATATGCTATTTTTGAGATAGATTATATTAAAATATCGTTGGTTTGTTGTTTTTGCGTTGTTTTGTGATGAAAATTGCTCAAAAATATGCTTTTTTTATATTAACTTTGACGAAGCTCTAATGGCGAAATCCCAATTTCGAGCAGTCAACCCGCCAAAGGAAGAAGAAAACACTGTAAATGAATAATCTCAAGAAATCCTAGGGGTTGGGGTGAGATTGTAAGAGAAACATCCTATTTATATTTTTCACTAAAAAGTCTCACGAAATCCACACCAGTAGAAAATTCATTAAAATCGTCAGATTTTTGAATGTTTAAAATCCTGATTGAATACCAACGGATTTGGACGGATTATGAAATAATCATTTATAATCCTAATCGAATACCACATGACTTTTTTCAATCCTTTAAAATTCTAATCGAATATCAACAGATTTTTGTGTCAAAAAACAATCCATTAAAATACTTTGAAATCTCAATCAAATACACCCCTAAGTTAATTCAGATTCTGAATGTAAGATTCCTCGGTTTTAAATTTTATTTTTCTACCAAACATCCCTTTAATGGGAAGTAACTGAAAATAATTGTTTTTAAGTAACGTTAATTATAAATGAATGAATAAATTAGATAAAATTAAATAAATATTTTTTTTTCTAATTTCATTAAGTAATTAAATAATCAGTAATTATTTCTGTAGTTACTACAGATAAATTATCTACATTTATTCTCAAAATGATGTCGTTTTGGGATTGAAATATTAAAAAATTACAACTATAAAGACTATAATAATCCTGAAATAAATTAAAATTACAAAAATATCATATTTTTTTCTGTTACAAAATAATGTCATATTGGAAGCTTATTGCAGATAAGTTATCTGCAGTAATTGCAGAAGAAACGAACCATTAAATAATTCTCATTATTAAAAAACTAACGAAGGAATTTTCACTGAACAAGAGATGAATTTTTGTGTGTGTAATTAAGCGGGGTTGAATTCACATTCAAAGATTAATGATACAATTAAAGGTTTCATTGCTGTCGTTTTTTTTTATATATTATTTGCAACCTTCGAAAACATAATTATCATATCAAATGATTGTAGCTCAGTTGACATCAGAAAACATGAATAGATAGATGTCAAAACATGTGTTTGATTGAAATATCTAAAAATAAATAAAGGGAAAAATATTTTCGCAGTTAATGCAGATAAGTTATTTGCATTTATTTCCAAAACGACGTCGTTTTGGTATTGAAATCTTAAAAAATTATAAATATAAAGACTATTATAACCTTTAAATAAATTAAAATTACAAAAACAACATGATTTTCGTCCCAAAACGACGTCGTATTGAGTTTACTGCAGATAATTATATGCAGTAACTGCAGAAAAAGCGAAATCCATAAATAAATTATGGGAATAACATCTATCCTTTTAAAGGATATAAACTTATATTCTTTTAGATCCTAATCGTTGATTTCCGTCCATCAATAGTTATAATTTATTGAATTAAAATTATTAATTAATTAATAATAAATTTGTCCCATTAAGTTTGACCCAATAGATTATAACCGTTGATGGAGGAAAATCAACGGTTAGGATCTAAAAGGATATAAACTTATATCCTTTAAGAAGATAGATGTTTTTCTCATAAATTATTATTATATTCTTCATTTGACACGTCAGCTGCAAAATATCTAGCTTCGTTGCAAAATACCTAGGATATATATAAACTAGAAGAGGATGACAATAACCTAACCGACTCGTATTGCAGAAAGACAAAAAGGGTACTCTTGAATATCCAGGAGTTAATTGCACTCAGTGGAATTTGAGAAGGGTAATATTGTCAGTGCGGTGCCCTAGCAGGGTAATAGCACACGCAAGAAAGAGGAGCCGCGGTGGAATCGTAATTGGTCTGTCTTAGCATATTCTTTTCTGGTTTGAGAATTGAGAGAGAGAGAGAGAGAAATTCTTAACTGTTTTTTCGGTGAATTGATCTGAGAGTGAAAGAAGATGGGAGTTCCAGCGTTCTATAGATGGTTGGCGGAGAAATATCCGATGGTGGTTGTGGATGCGATCGAGGAGGAACCGGTGGTTATCGACGGCGTTCAAATCCCGGTCGATACGAGTAATAAGAACCCTAACAATATCGAATACGATAACCTCTACCTCGACATGAACGGTATCATTCACCCTTGCTTCCATCCCGAGGATAGGGTAAGCTTTTTCCTCATTCTTCCATCTCACGACAAATTGAAATTGAAATTCCTTTTCGCGAGTTGGTTCTTGTTTTTCCTTTTTTTGGTTCTTTTTTATTTTCACTTTAATTTTCGATTCCGAACAATGTGAGTGAGTTTCCGTTGTTTGGTTGCAGCCATCTCCGACCTCTTTTGATGAGGTGTTTGAGTGCATGTTTGACTACATTGATAGGCTATTTGTCATGGTGCGCCCTCGGAAGCTGCTCTATATGGCTATTGGTGAGTGTTTCTTCGTTATGATTATTTGTTATTGTGTGACATGCGATGTGTGTTAATCGGGGAAGCTTGTTTTTGTTAACTTTGCAGATGGTGTTGCACCAAGGGCTAAGATGAATCAACAACGGTCTAGGCGGTTTAGGGCAGCCAAAGATGCATCTGATGCGGTATGTAGTGCTAAGTGTTTTCATTCGTTAGATGTTGTGTGGTTGGGATACATTATATGCTGACTTTATTATAAATCTTTCATGTTTCTTAGTATATATCAATTGTCATGGATATTATGTAAACTTACACTCTTGGGTTGTTATCTACAATTCAGTTTCATGTCATACTGTACTAGTGGGTATTTGAAAGTTTGAACTGCAGAGTCGTTTGATTTCTGATGAATATTGGAATATTGAATACTCTGCTCTTAAGTGTTTCTCTTCACCATTTTTTATTTCAATTTTGTGGTGTATAAAATATTTATTGAAGGGGGAGATAGTCCTAGTATACATTCTCTCGCAATAGTCTGGAGGTGCTACTGCTTGGGATTCTTGCTTGAATCCCATCTCTTGTGATTTATGATATTGCCTCTTCATCTTATGTGTCTTCTTTGTGAACAACTTTCATCTCTTAAGAAATTGATGAAATATTTGAAAAGATGTCAAGGTGTGATTTTCCTTTGTTTGTCTGCTTTTCTTTTGTGTGATAGGCTGCTGAAGAAGCAAGGTTAAGAGAGGAATTTGAGAGGGAGGGCAGAAATCTTCCTCCTAAAGAAGAGTCCCAGGTTTTTGATTCAAATGTCATCACACCTGGAACTGAATTTATGGCTGTTTTGTCAATTGCGCTTCAGTACTATATTCATCTTAGGTTGAACAATGACCCTGGTTGGCAAAATATTAAGGTATCAAGCTCATTGTATGTAAATTGTGTTGCTGCTGCATATGTGTGTCTCCCTGGTCTGAATGATCTTAACGCTATGATTTATGTATATGTCTGAAGGTTATTCTTTCTGATGCAAATGTTCCTGGTGAAGGGGAGCATAAGATTATGTCCTATATCCGCCTGCAGAGAAATCTTAAAGGTTATGATCCAAATACGCGACATTGCCTGTATGGTTTGGTATATATCTTACTTCCAATATTTTGTTATTTTTAAAAAATTCAATTTCTTTTTGACTTTCACTCAAATTTCTTCCTTGCTTTATTTATCATGGACTTAATTAACTTGTTCTTATTGTTTGGTGTCTGATGACAGGATGCTGATTTGATTATGTTGGCTTTGGCCACCCATGAAATCCATTTTTCAATTTTAAGAGAGGTTTGTGTCTACTGAGATTTGCTTTTAAAGCCAGCATAGTAAAATAGTTAACAATGAAGAATGATTGTTATCAATGTTTATGCTATTTTTTTGATTTCTTTCCATCAGACTCTGTGTGATTGACGTTTTGATAAACACTTGGACATTGTAGGTTGTGTTTACTCCTGGACAAGACAAATGCTTCCTCTGTGGTCAGATGGGTCATATGGCTGCAGACTGTGAAGGAAAGGTAAAAAGGAAGGCAGGGGAGTTTGACGAAAAAGGAGATGCTATTGTGGCTAAAAAGCCCTACCAGGTCAGGATTTGAGATAAATTTTGAGATTGATATATGTTGTATAGTTATCTTTTATTGCATGTGACAATATTGTTTTGGTGCTTCAGTCCTTAATTCTCACTTCTGTATATTTCTTTTGTAGTTCCTAAACATTTGGACTCTGAGAGAATATCTGGAGTATGAGTTTAGAGTACCTAATCCTCCTTTCAAGATTGATTTTGAATGCATGGTGGATGATTTTATCTTCATATGTTTTTTTGTTGGCAATGATTTCCTTCCACATATGCCTACGCTTGAGATTCGGGAGGTATATTACTCTATATCTCTTGTTCTTTCTCTCTAACTTTTCTATTTTCTATGTAATTGGCGAATCCTATTTTGGGACTGATATTCTATTTTCTAGGCATCAATCTGTGGATTTTGACCTTGACTGAGATTGTTCGGTCCTAAATGCATATGCAACTGGTGGTTTTTTTATTATTTAATTTTGGCCGTGTTTTGTTTTTGATACCCCAACTAGTTTGGGATAAAGGTGTTGTTGATGTTGATGTTGATGTGTTGGTTTTTTATAGCTAATGTAAACAATTTGGGTCAATTTTGAAATTGATGGTTACTACTTTCATCTAAATAACAAGTAACGAGCTATCACAGAAGCTTAAGTTATTATGTGGAGGTACATAAATGGTTCAATATATCTAACATGCCTTCAAATGTGAAAGCTTTTTGGGCTTGAAGCATGAATGAAGTGAAAACCCACTTGTACTGAAATTTCTTTTTTTTTTTTTTCGGATAATGAAATTTCATTTAATATGAAGAATGTGGGTATCAAAATCAAACTCCTGTCCTGGTGGTCACGGAGGATTTCATACTCTAGGATTAGGAAGCAACAATTGCAAAAGCTTAAGCTTTTAGATGGAGGCACATGAATGCTTTAATATATCTGACAGGAAAAAACTTTTCAGGTTTTATACTTGCATGCATTTTTGTAACTGTCACTGAGTCAAACTCTTACGAAATACATGGTATGCATTAGTTTTAACTCTTAACAGTTTTTTTGCAAAAGTACTAGTGGCTTTGAGATGATATCTTTGATTTTTCACATATTTTTGCTGGAAGATGTATGAGAGAGAGAGAGTATAGGTGTCCTTAATTTGCAGTAACCTAATATTTGGTGGGGTCTACTTCATTGTCAGCTTTTGCTGAGTTTGGATTTTGAATTTTTGGTTCCAAGCTGTAGGGTTTTTTCTTGCCATTAACCTTTTAATGTGTCTTCCTGTTACAATCATGGATAGTGTAATTTTTTAGTCTAGCCTAGGTGGTTCTCTGAGGTAATCAATTAAGACACAATTTAATGGTGAAATTTGTTTAGTTGTTGAATGGCATAATTTATTGCTTAATTTGTATGTGCAGATAAATGGATTAGAACCTATTTCTTACTCTCTGAATTTTGGTCTTAATATAATCGTAAAAGGAAGTCGTAATGTTTGGCATCCTTTTTGAATTCTTACTGTAGTGTGATACTTTGATGTTTGTTAATATTTATGGTGATATGATATTGGTCATGTATTACATGATGGGAGAAAGATTAATATGCAACTTTTTGTTATATAGCTAATCTATTTGTTGTGAATTTCAATTTAGGGTGCAATTAACTTGCTGATGGCCGTCTACAAGAAGGAATTTAAGGCAATGGGTGGTTATTTAACCAATGGAAGCAAGGTACTTGATGGTAACTGGGGTGATATATTACATGTAGTATGCTGTGGTTCTTTTCACCAAAATAATGTTTGTGTTTAATTTGTCCTTTTGGTTCCTGCTTTTCTCAGCCAAATTTGAGCAGGGTGGAGCACTTTATTCAGGCTGTTGGATCTTATGAAGATAGGATATTCCAGAAAAGAGCTCGATTGCATCAGGTCTATTACACTTGGAATATTATATTGTTACTCGTGTTAGCCTGCTGTTAGCTTTGGTTGATGTTCAAATACTGCGAATGATATTAATTTATTACATGTTATCTTGTCATGAAAGAAGTAAAGAAAAGAACTGAGGCTTTGTTATGCAAGCATTTATAATTGTCAAGTTGTCTGGCTGTATAATATGGAAGTTTAAATTATTCAGATATTTTTCATGCATTTTGAATTGTAAGAATCTATTTTTGGTTGTCTCTGGAACTTAGTTGTTTGTTTTTGATTATTGCTTCTTACCGTTGTGTCCGGTTGCATCTCATTCCCTTATGAGGAGATGGTAGAGAGAGATCATTGGTTTATGCCTAATGACTCTGTGTGTGTGTGTGCGATTGGGAAAAAATGGGTCTTAACCGTGTAATTGTTGTTACAATTTCTAGCCTGGTAGTATATGAAGAAGGGAACATGTTTGAAACAGAGTGGGAGACAATAAAGATTTGTAAGACTAGATAGATTTTCTTGTACTAAGAAAGAGGTGTTTGTGTTCTGAAGTTGTTCTTTTTGTATTTATTGTTCTGTTTCCAGCGACAAGCGGAAAGAAGAAAGCGTGAGAAGGCACAAGCAAGAAGAGGAGATGATGCTGAGCCTCAATTACAACCAGAGTCTCTAGTTGCAGTTTCACGATTCCAGGGTTCTCGTCTTGCATCAGCTCCAACACCTTCACCATTTCAACAATCTGGGCGTTATGATCCCCTCGTGTCCAGTTCAGCTAGAAAAGACAATAAAGATGCCTTTGAGAGGCCTCCTAAAGTTGCTAGGATATCATCAGGAGCAACTGTTGCTGCTGCTATTGTTGAAGCCGAAAATAATCTTGAAATAGAAGTATGTTTTCCTGCTTCTGGGGAGGCATTCCTTAGAATTAATATATGGGCTAACCTAATACTGTGTATGAGCCTGATGACAACTTAAAAATGTAGTTAATCTTGTGAAATTATTGTTATTTATAGTATTTTTAATAAGCTGGTGATTTCTTCTGTGCCTTGTCTTTGAGTTTAGTATTATTTTGCTTTGCAGGTTCAAGATAACAAAGACGAATTGAAAACAAAACTGAAGGAGAGACTTCGTGAGAAATCTGATGTATTCAACTCGGAGAATGCTGAAGAGGACAAGGTAAATGCATATAGTTTCTTGTTTAGTATTTTTGTGATGCTATGAATTAATCTTACAGTTTAATTTGCATTCAATAGGTACCGTGTAAATTATCCTGCCTGTGGATATTAGATTAAATCTTAATGACTTAGTTATTTGTAATTACTAATTTTCCCATACCCACTTGTGGGACAAGACTTTGTTGTTGGTTAGTTTATTAGTTTTCCATCCCAGAAACCTCATGATTTATATGGATGAAATTTTGAGAATTTGTTGGGATTTCAAACTGTGAAATATGTTGACAAATTAACTTCTCTATAAAAGAAAAATCAAAAGAAAAGTTCAATTAATTATTTAAGTATTTACTTACATTTTTAATAAGAAAGGTATTAGTTCCTGTTTATTTGGACGGTATCCATGTTGGTCCATACTCTTGATATTTTTTAATTGATTTCTTATTGAAGGTTCAACATACAAAAAACATAAAATAAAACTCTAAAAACTTGACAAAGCCTTTTTTACAATTTATCAAATTATGGGTATGAGTTATCCTTTGCTTGCAACAATTATCCATTTGGGTTTGTTTATCTGACAGTGATGGGACATGTGGAATGACTTTTACTCTGTTGCTTGTGTAAGTGTTGGGGGTTGTCAGGTGTTAGAGAATAATATAAATCATTAAAAAGGCCCTCACCCAACACCTTAAGGTTTTGGGTTGAAGTGGTTCTTTACATGGTATCAGAGCTTGAGTGACTACAAGGTCATAAGTTCGATCTTCACCGCCCCCCACTTTAAAGTGGAATTAAAATAAAAGAACAAAAGGTAAACCAAAAATGGGGACCGTACAATATCCACGCTTCTAGACCAAACATAGTAGTCAATAGCGGCGCAATAGCGCCGCAAGCCGCACCAGTTGCGCTTTGCGGAGCTTCGCCGCAACCATTCGCGCCGCGCCGCACTAGATCGCAATAGCGGCCGTTGCGGTCGCATTTGCGGCCAAATCTCGCCGCAACAGTGTCTTTTTATGGTTTTAACCTTGACCCACTCTCTCTTTCTGCCTCTCTTGTTTTCTTTATTGCGCTCGTTTCTTCCCTTCTATACTTCTCTCTTATAGTATTGAAGTTCAATGTGGAAGCCATGAATGAAGAAGCAAAGCTTTGAGTGAGAGAAAGAGTGTGTGAGAGAGAGAGAGCCGATGACGGAGAAAAGGAGAAAAAGTGAGAGAAATAGTAAGAGAGAGAGAGAACAGATGGAGAAAAAGAAAAACTGTGAGAGAGAGAACGGATGAAAGAGAAAAAGTGAGAGAGAAAGAGATTCTGATCTATCTTTATTCAAAGAAAAGAAAAGTACATTGTCAAAAAAGTGATTCACAAGTCACGGTAACCAAGTAACCTGGTTATAGTAACAGTGGGTAAAACTATTTCTATATCCCAAAAAAAAAAATGCATCATTAAAAGGTAACTAAGATAAAACACTAAAGTAACTAAGGTAAATCTGGTAAATCAGTAAAGTATAGTTACAACAAAAGGTAGTACAACTATAGCTAAAGTTTGGACACTTATTACTAAGAGGTAACATGTCAACTCTGCCTTTATTATTTTTTTTTTTTTATTATTTATCTTTATATTTTTTTTATTATTTGTATTTTTTTTAGGTGTTATTATTTTTTTAATAATTTATTATGTTACACACACACATATACATATAACTTGTTTTTTTAATAAATATATTTTTTATGCTATTTCCGCAACCGCAACTCGCAATAACGCTATAGCGGTTTTGAGGGTTGGCTGCGTCAGGCCGCAATCCGCATTTGATAACTATGAGCCCAAAGGGCTCTTGCATGAGGGGGTGTGTTAGAGAATAAAATAAATCATTAAAAAGGCCCTCATCCAACACTTTAAGGTTTTGGGTTGAAGTGGTTCTTTACATCAGGACAACCATTTCCTTGACTCCATGTGGCACAAACAGTCCTTTTCTTTTTTCTTTTACTTTTTTTTTTTCTTTTTTATGGGATGATAATGCCTGTTTTTCAGTTGAATGTGTTTGGATGTTGTGAGTCGCAGTTAATGCAGATGCTTTACATGTCCTAGTTATGCTACAACGGCTGGGGTTGCAACATTAATATGGAACTGAAATATGTAACAACCTTTTAAATTCTTTTTGTATCTAGGCTATAGCTTGGTGTTATGAGAAGCATGAAATATGTCCGAACTTAATGCTTGCAATTGTGGTTCTTATACTGCATATTTGTTGAAAGTTATTTCTCTTTTTCTTCATTAGTTATTTCATTTCATTTTAGCTAGTATTTCTTTTAACAGATTAAGTTGGGAGATCCAGGCTGGAAAGAGAGGTATTATGAGGAAAAATTTTCTGTTAAAACTCCTGAGGAACTTGACATGATACGGAAAGATGTTGTAAGTTAAAGAATTGAAGTTGTACTGATTTAAATTTGTATGGAGATTTTGTTTTCTTATTACAGTTTATTGTTTAGGTCTTGAAATACACTGAAGGCCTATGTTGGGTGATGCACTATTATTATGAAGGTGTCTGTTCTTGGCAATGGTAAGTTTCTTCTCTTTTTTTTCTTTACAGCGCTATATTAATCTGAAATTGTGTTGGCTTTCCTTTGCCTTTCATATGGTACTTGTGGTATTTTTCTCTTTTCTCACTTTGATTTCTAAATTTGTGATGACCAAAATTAAGATGATGAATGCTTATTTTGACTTTGATATAAATTTAAATTTCGTGTGATGTGCGGTGCTTGCTCAATACCTTTTACTAACTTGTTCTTTCATGGTTCCACTGTGGTTTCTTTATGGACTCGTTATTTGTTATTTTTTAGTGAGTGTTGGCTATCATGTTGGTCCTTGGACCAGTTCTTGATGATTAGTGTTAGAAGTTTTGAAAATAGGTCGATAAGAAGTCCCATATTGTTACATTAGTCTTATGTAATTGTTATAATTGCTCTATATAATAGAGCCTTTGTTGTGCTGTTGACACACGTCGATTCAAAAAATATTTGCCTTTTTGTTTTCATGTTATTCAACATGGTATTTGAGTCCCTGAATTTGGAACTCTTCATTAATTATTGTTTCCATCACTCGTCTCTCATCTTCTTCTTCCCATGCTTTCGAGTAATCATCGTCTCTTTGCCATTATGTTCTTCCTGCAACGTTTAAGTCTTCTGCAACCCTAATCGGCTTTCGTCTCCGACCTTGTTTGCGACGATCGTTTGCTGCATTTTGCTGCTGCCGGTGAATTTTCCTACGGTTCTCCCGCCATTCAAACCGCTATCTTATTAAGTCCTTTATGTCTAGGATCTACTTGCATACTCCTACCTACTCTTTTGGCTGAAGCACTCTTCCGGTGCGTGGGCCACTGTCTGACCAACTTTTTCGGTGTTTTAGGGTTTTGGGTCCACCGTTTTATGTTTTTTCCATAGCGATTTTTTCAACAACAGAAAAATTTCCGGCCAGTGATCGATAGATTTGGATTGTGAAAACTCCTTCCCTGCGATAATGTTCATGCTCATTTTTTTTTTCTGATGAGCCAGGCTGATTCTGGTTCCTATGTCCCTATGAAGGATGTTTTGAAGCTTGAGGTATCCATTTGCAGTGATAGTGTCTATGCTCCATTGTGTGTGGAGAAAGGTACATGCCCACACATTTCTCTAATTAGATTCGGCCCTTCATGCTGATGTTTATCTTTTTTCCAATGCCAACATAGTATTGACGGGGAGAAATTTGGAAGTTGCACTTTAGTCTAGTCGGATTGTCCTTGTTGTTGGCTAACCTCCCAATTGATGCCTGCCGGAAAGGCTTTTATCCAAGACGCTTCCCTACCTTGATGGATTGTCCTAATTCCGGTCTAGCCCCATTGAAGCTTGTCCTCGATGTAGCTTGGCCTCGTTGGACTTAACCTAGATGTTCTTTGGTTGGGTCCGCTAGATTTTGGTGTGGTTGAAGCTTCCAAATGTTGTTTTTGATGAACATAGAGAAGTTTTAGTTATTGTTGTGTATACTTGCTTGCCAAGTCATTTTCGTTGATGGTCATTCCAACCACCTTGCTCAGTTGCCTTTCTAGCATTTTTCGTCTCTGCGTCGTCTCTGTCGCCCCCAAGTTGTCTTGGCAATCGTGTTTTGTGGAGCACAAATATATTATTTGGTTAATTTTTCATTTGTAACAAGCTTAAAGCTGTAGTAAGCTTTAGATTGAGGGGGAGTGTTAGAAGCATTTAACAATTAGCTTTCATGGTTTTATTAGAAGAGGCTAAATTTTTATGGCATTGTGCAATGCATGACATAGGCTAGGATTTGTGACGTCTCTCTCTCTCTCTCTCTCTCTCCTTCCTCTCTCTCTTGTATATATATTATTTTTCTTATTCTTTTCTCTCAATGCGTTCTTGATTTTATTTGGTTTTATCAATTGCCAAACCCAACTAGTTTGGGATAAAGGTGATGTTGATGTGAATACATTTTGGGATAAAGGTGTTGGGATCAAAGGCTAAATCTGACGAGAGAGGAGCGTGGACAATTAACATAAACATCATTGTTGTCCCAAACTAGGTGGGTTTGACAACGATAAAACCAAATAAAAGCAAGAACATATTGACGAAAAAAGATTATATATACACAGACACACCACAAATTCTAGCCTAAGTCATGCATTGCACATTGCCATAAAAACTTAGCCTCTTCTAAAAAAACCATGAAAGCTAATTTTTGATTAACATGGAAACAAAAGACAAATGTTTAAATCCATGTGTCAATTGCCTCTTCCAATAAAAAATGCACATGAACATTACAGAGAGAAAGCCCGCTGTGAGATGGTGTTATAAATGGTGGGAGTCCTCAAATATGAGGTGAGTATGATACCATGCTGAATAACATGGTAATGTTTACATTCGTGTGTTTTAATAGCACAACAGAGGCTCCACTATGACAATTAGATAAGATTCTTTAACGATGCGGGACTTCTTGACAAACTATTTTTAATACTGCTAACACTAGAGAAAACCCAGCTAGGGCTCGGATAAGAAATTTTATTTACTTCTTTTTTTTGCCTGTGACATTCATATCCAGATTGTGTCCCCAAGAATTGCTTATTTTATTTATCAATTTTATTTTTATTTTGTACAAAACAGGTTTTATCCTTATCATTATGCACCTTTTGCTTCTGATCTTAAGGACCTTGGTGAGCTTAATATTAGCTTTAATCTGGGTACCCCATTCAAACCATTTGACCAGCTTCTAGGCGTTTTTCCTGCTGCAAGGTTTGCCTGCTATTGCATTTTTATTTTTGTAAAATTGTAACTTACTAAACTTCGGTTGGTGTAATATGGAAAATATGATTTCTCTGCAGCTCTCATGCACTTCCTGAGCCATATAGAAAACTAATGACAGATCCGAACTCACCAATTATTGATTTTTATCCAGTTGGTATGCTTTTAATTAAGTAGTGCATTGTTAAGACAAGTTTTAGACGTTTGTATGCATTATGTGTATTTCTCCCTATTTAATCTTGATGCTGTGTGCCAGACTTTGAAGTGGACATGAATGGCAAACGTTATGCTTGGCAGGTTCTTTCCTCATTTTACAATTGCTTTTTGCTTAGTATTTTCTAGACATGACAGCAACATAGTTTATGATATCACTTCCTCTCTGTAGGGTATTGCAAAGTTGCCTTTTATTGAAGAAGCCCGTCTTCTTGCGGAAGTTCGGAAAGTTGAAAACTTGTTAACAGTATAGCTCTGTCCTCCATTAAGTTTTAATGCACATTTTCGTTCATTTTGCTGTTCTTGACTCTCCCTGGCAGATCTCCATGTTTCCATTATGTACTGATTTTAGCTTATATTTTGTTGATATCTTATCTCTATTTCAAAAAAAATAAAGGCAGAGGAAACACGAAGAAATGCTATAATGTTCGACTTGCTTTTTGTGAATTCTTGTCATCCGCTCTCCGCATGCATAAGTACACTTGACAACAAATGTAGAAATATGTTGGGCAGTGAACGTGCTAAGGTCAAGGAAAAAATAAATCCCAAAGAAAGGTTGGTGCACAATGCTTTGCCATTTTCTAAACAATCTTTTTGTATGTGGAAGGATTTGATTGGATTTCCTTCTGATCAATGGTAAGTTTGTTGCATGTGATGAAGCAATTATTAGTGTAATGAGTCGCACAATTTGTCTCAGGTTAATGATGTTGCAAGCCATAATATGCTCTCTTGATTTTTTATGGATTTTTCCGAAGAAAATTGAGAGACCTTTATGTTATTTATCTTGTCATTAATGATCAAACAGTATCTTGAGAAATGATTCTATTAATTCAGAATTGGTAGGTTTTCTGTTGATTATTAGTTAGGAGTTAACCTTGAACATATACGTGCATAAATTTGTTGTTTAAAAATATATATATATATATATATATATAAATGCATTAATGTATATAGGACAGCTTATCAAAATGTGGGTTCAAACAGTGGAACATACTATTTCTGGAATGCTGCCGAAATTTGTATCTAGTCTGTTAATTAATTCAAGTTCAGTGATGTGATTAGCCATGCATACTCGTGGCTAATTTTAATGTAGCCACAGGTTTTAAATAATACTTGTCATTTGTATCAGTGCTACTGCTAGACTGGAATTAGTACTATTTGCTTTCAGGCATTTGTTATTTAGATATGCCACATTATTTGAACAGATACTAATATATTATGATAATGTGAGTGGGTTTGTTGCTAGTTTGTAAGTAGTATAGAGTTATTTGAGAAAGAGAGTCAGAAGGGGATGAGTAGAATGGCAGGTTTTTGATGTAATAGAATTCCGCTATAGTTTTCATATGCATGAAATTATCAATTTTGTTCCCTTCATATGTTCTATTCAAAATGACAAATTTAAGATGAGCCTGCACTATTTTCTGATGTTATTTAGGGATACATGCAGTGGTGGAATGAACGGGTACATATCTTTATGTGGTGGAGAACCTTGCCCTCCTATCTTCAGATCTCCTGTTGGAAGCATGGAAGATATCATGGACAACCATGTAATGTATGTCTTTCTGTCAAAGCTGAGTACATTCTAATAAAGAACATGATTTATAGTCATGGATCTGAAAATTGATGTATTTTTCTTATATGCCTTTTCATGCTCTGTTTTGCTCAGATGTGCAATATATATACTCCCAGATGCACATGAGCACATTGCCCGACCGCCACAGGGAGTTAAATTTCCGAAAAAGGTATTTAAATCTTCTAGCTGCTAATTATTGATACTCCTCTGACTCCTAAGTTTTCTTTCCCGAGTATGGTGTTCAATTTCAAAGGTTTTTTCTACAGTAGGATTTTAGTCTGTTTAACGTAGCATGCTGCTTCTTGTGTTTTGTCTTCAAGTAGGTGGGAAAATAAAATTATCTTCTTTTCTGTGCAGACTGTGACAATTGGGGATCTGAAACCTGAACCTGTTTTATGGCATGAAGATTCAGGTAGGAGGAGACACGCTGAAAACGGGAGGTATGCTGAAAACGGAAGGTATGCTGAAAATGGGAGGTAATGCTCTGGTTTATAACTATTGGGCTAAAAGACTTTGGTTTAATTTATGATTTACTGTTGGATTGCAAGCAACATCATGTCATCTCGTTGGCTAAAACTCAGACTGGGTCTCTGGTTTTCTATTCCAGGAATAACCCTCCAGGATCTATTTCTGGTCGTGAGCTTGGAGATGCAGCACGCAGACTTGTTGTCAATTCCTTACAAGCAAAGGTTGACGGTAATGGACACCGTTATCCGATTAATGGACCCCCAAGGGCTTATGCTGCTCCAATGGGTCATCGACAACCATTGCCTCCCTATAATTATGAATCACGCCCGGGATACGTTGGAATGCCGCATTCTGTAGCAACTCCTCCAATCCAAGGTCAACCACATTTTGTGCCTCACGCTGCTGTCCCTACTCCTCAGCAGTATGGTTATAATCAACCATACTCGCCACCGATGGTCTACAATCCTCATCATCAATCAAATTCTTATGAAAGAAATGACTATCAACAGCCTGGAGTACATCCTTATGAAAGAAATAACTATCAACAGCATAGAGCACATCCTTATGAAAGAAATAACCTTCATGGTAGTGAGGGAAATGCAAGGCATGGATTTCAATCATCAGGAAATAATCAGAATGCTAGGTTTATGAGTAGGCAAGGTAGTCATCATCACGAAGTTGGTCATCACAGCCAAAACATCCAACCACCTAGAGCTTCTCACCAGAGTTGGGCTCCACGGAATAACACCAGTAGCCACAGGGAATATGGTCAACATTCGGCCAATCAGTATTCTCTATTAGGAAACAGGAAGCCAATGCCACCACCTGGTTATAATCGGAAATAAAGTCATTTACTCTAGGGAATATTCTACCCCTCGAAATTATTGTGTTGTACAATATCTTTTCCCATTTAGTTGAAGTTTGATGGTTGTAGTATCATTTTCTGTTCACTGTCCGAATATCTAGTCTAGTCAAGTCAATTACCTGCAAATTTTTTAGTGAATAGATGAAATAGATTAGTAATAAACCCCTATAACACAGGTTTGATAACATTTTTTAATTTGATAGGCCATTCAATTGTGTTGTATGGTACTTGAGGCCCAAATTTATATATCTAAAGCAATCATGCTTCATTTCCAGTTCATGAAGTGCCCGTTTCTCATCCTCTGCTTTTGGTGCGTGGAGTTGCATATCTTGCGTGATATTATTTAGCAAGTTGATTTACTTGCAGTGAAATAATTATCAAAAATGGTGTTTGGTTTTCTATATGGAATAGAATTTGCGAAAGTAGTTTAGTTAATTTCACACACTTCCTTTAGGGAAAGAATCGGAAAATCGAATTTGTTTTATAAAGTGATTTAGTTTTTGAATCAATTAGAAGGGAGTGATTTAGTTTTAAAATAAAAATAAAAAAATGTTTAGTTTCGTTTGGCTTATTTGGATTTTTTACAAGTATAATTCGGTTTTTAGCCTGAATTGAATTAAATTGTTGAGTGGTTTAGTTCTTGAATTGAATTGGTTTTAGAAAATTATTCTGATCTTAAATGGGTGATTCTTTTAATGAGGTTTGGATTAATTCAGAGTTTTAATATGATTCATTTGATTATTTTACGTCTCTAGTTTCAAAGTTCCAAAAGTGAGGTAGAAAATTCATATTTACATAGATATAATCTTAACTATAATTTTACAAATGATTAATTTTGCAACGGCAAGTCGGCAAGACGATAGAAAATTCATATGCAATTTCTTTTGTAGGCACAAATGCATATTTTAATTTTTTTTCAATAAATTAATTTCATCTTTCATTTAATCCAATAAACAGTTCTTTGATTTTAAAAATATTCATAAACCTGTAAAATTGTGCCTTAAAATTTGTAAAAGTTTTTTTTTGCATTTATTTATTTTTGGGAAAGTTGCGGTCCAACTATTTTGGGGCAACAATAACAATGTATAAAAGTAGTGATTAATGTTTTTCATGCTATAAAAGATAAAATTATTTCGTATATACACATAAAAATATATAGGAGCCATGTGGGCCCATGTGTAGAGAAAAAAGAGAAAAAGAAAATATGGATCCCACGCATTTTTATTTGTGTGTAAGATATAAAATTATCTTCTACAACATGAGAAACACTAATTCCGTATAGTCTGGTGACACATCAGTATTAAAAAAGTAATATATGTAGTTTTAGAAATATGTTACAATTGGCCAAGTTTAATTTTATTGTCTGGTGAAATTATAGATTCTAATTTGAATGTGTTTACCAACAGCTCTTGGGTAAGTTCATAAACATATTGAATTGTATTGTGTGTTGGTCGAATCAGAGAACCATTGTTTTAAATCTGAGTCTTTTCCTGAGGTCTAAAGATGATAGTATGTATTTGTATTATTTAATTTATATAATTATATGAAAGGAGCTAACAAGCAAGATGGATCGCTGAATTTCAAGATGACCACCCCACGCTCTCCCATATATATATATATATATATATATATATATATATATATGGAAAAAATATTTTTACAGCCACTTTAGATAAGGTTATCTACAATTATTCTTTTATAACTATGTACTCCCGATAATACATAATTATACTATTAAAGTTACTTTTTTCTTTCTCTCCACGTCAGCAGACAGTTTTTGAAAAGTGACTGAAGAGAGAAGAAAAAAATAACTTTAATGTTATAACTATATACTACTAGTAGTACATAGTTATAAAAGATAGCTGTAGATAACCTTATCTAAAGTGACTGTAGAAATATTTATCCTTATATTTATATATATTCGGTAAGCGATTTGAATAATATTAAATCAACAATATTTCAGTTTAGTATTTCTTTGAAACTAGCACTAAAATAGTTATAAATAAACTTATTTTGAATTTCGTATGAAAAAATTATTACTGAATTTTAATCTTAATTTTGGGGATTATTAAAGTGGCTCTTAATGTATGACAAAAAGATTAATAATATAAATTACTGAAGCTAGTAACGAAATGTTTGACTAGTTTAAAAAAATTATAGACTTAAATCTCATTCTCTTCATTTTTTTTATGTAAAAAAAGCCGTTGAATCGAAGATAAATTTGTAAGGTTTTTTTTTTTTTTTATCATAACACTATTGATGATTGTAGTTACAGAAAATAGATGAGAAGTGTTAACTTTAAACAAACAAATTGAAAATTTGGACATATTTAAAAGCCGAAACTCATGGAGAGTGAAGGATCAACTAGTCATCAATGACGATAACACTTGTGTGTTGTTGGGACAATATCCCTCAAAAATCAGCCAATCAGCGTTGAAGTGGGAAATATTTTCTATGATCCAGGATCACTTAATAACTTGGTTCTTCTTTTCATAATACCAATTTTTTCTTTTTCTTTTTATCCTTATTATTTTTTCTCTTTCTCAATTTTACCTTTCCATTTATAATAAAAGATCGTCTAAATTTTTTTTTAGTGGTCCGGAACATAATAAATGCTCTCGTTGAAGCGAGAAGTTAGTCAAGTTGAGTAGCCCGACCCAATATCCATTAACACAAAAAATGCAGAAATAGAGAGATGGAGAAAAGAAGATAACAAAATACTTTTTAATTGGAATACCTCCTCTAATGCAAAAGAGTAAAAATTCCAGAGTCTAGTCCAATAAATTTTTTTATATAAATAATGGGATTATAAGAGTTTTTCCCTTTGACACACACACTTTCTTTACCCACATAAGGTTGGAATACACAATTTCTTCGCTGGAAGAGATACACACTCAAACTTCTCTTATAAAGGAATACATTTACAAGCTCTCTAACAAACTGACCTATTATAAATGAATTTCTAGATGAGGTAACCTCTTTATCTTCTTCAAGAATGTTCTTCAATTAATAGAATTGTTGTTTTTATTAGAGTGGTTTAAATATTGAGCCAAGAGACAACATACCACAAAAATATTAAATGATGAACACACCCAAACACGAGTATCATGGATTCATGCAGATTGCATAAAATTCTGAAGCAAATAAGTACTTCATGCTGAGTGACGAGTGGAAAATCATAGAATAAAGGAAGCCTTCCTATATTCTTTTAAAATATTTTTTTAATATTGAAAAAGGATACATATTATATTTTATAACATCAAAGGTATTTAGAATTTTTTATTTAGTAATTAGAAATAATATTAAAAAATTAGTTTAAAAAATCAAGAATTAATGTAGTATTTTAATCAGTAGAGTGCTTTTGACAAGTGATTTCTGCTTTGGGTTTTTAAGATATAAGTATTATTATTAAAGGGTTTTATTAATTTCATGTTAAAGGTGATAAGTTATCTAATGTTATAGAGACAAACTTGTGGGCTCCACCATCTGAAAAAGAAAAAGAAAAGAAAAGAAAAAGGTGACACGATTATCGAAGAGTGTATAAGAAAAAAAACTTATCTCATGTAGCATGAGAATAATCTTTCTCATTATTAAAATATATATATATATATATATATATATATATATATATATATATATATATATATATTCGTGAGAAAAATACCTCGAACACGTATGCGCCTTAGGGTTTCAAAGAAACATCAAACATATTTTTTATTTGAGTAAAGTCTTTTTTGGATCCCTAATAAAAATATGGTTCCCATTTTCGTCCCTTATAAAGAAAATATCTATATTAGTCCTTTTCTAGTGACTGAATTGAGTCTTCGTTGAATTTTAAATGGATCACATTTTCAAAGAACTGGAATTGTAGAGGAAGCAAAAATTGACTTTTTTTTGTAAGAGACTAAAATGGGAACTATATTTTTTGGTTAAGGACCCAAAATGGACTTTACTTTTTTTTTTTTAAAGTAATCTCAAGAATACCCTCTGACAGTAATTGAAGACTAATCCCATTTAGTACTGTTGGATCCTTTCGGGGAAGTCTTCTACATTTTTTTTTTTCCATTTCGAGGTTCGAACTCAAAACTTCGGCCCAAACTCCCTTAAAATATGGGGAAAATTATATAACACGACAATTGTATCCCAAATATTATAAGATAGCCACAATTTTTTCTTTCGTGAGCCTCACTGATAAGCGGGATTTACTAATATTTTTCAGAAAAAAGTTCATAAATCTCATGCGGTTTAGTTTTTTTATCACTTACGTTCCTATATTTTTTTTCTTATTAATTACTACCGTGATTTTTTTTCATCTAAATTTATTTTTAATACTACTAGTAATTGAGCTCACTTGCCCATTTTACCTTTTAACACCAAGGCATAAAATTCTTCTCTAAGTCATAAGCGTATTCAAGTTGTTTGAACATTTGGCTTATTACAGAGGGGTAGAGTAGAGGACTTGGACCTTAGCTTATTCCGTTATTATAATAACTGCTTGCCACTAGTTATTCAAAGGATAAGGATGTGAAATCAATGGGCTTTGGGGAAGTCGTGCTTCTCTGAGTTAGTGCGAATGCCAATAGGAAAAATCTCTAAATTAATGCCAAAACAGATAAAGTAAGATGAATAAAACTGCTACATTGTAAGGATTAAATATGTTTCCTGCTCTAGCTGGAATGGTAAGTGAAATTTTGTTTCCTTTGAGAAAGTTGTGAGTTGTAATGCTGTGGTGGTGGATAGAGAAGTTTCTTGTGTCAATGCATAGTTTCTGCGGTGAGCTGAAACTTAATTCATTTATTTAGAATTTTATATAAGGGTAAAATAAGTAAATGAGCTCAATTATTAACGGTAATAAAGATGGATTTGGATGAAAAAATAACAGGAGTAGTTAATAAGAAAAAAAAGCATAAGGATGTAAGTGATAAAAGAGTAAATCACAAGGAGAGTTTATGATTTTTTTTAAACATTCATACTTCTTGGCTTATAATATTTCGAGTCTGCAGAGCCCAACTCTCAGAATTATTCTAAATTAAGATAGTTTATTTTAATAAATGGGATTAATTAAGGAGATTTTTTTTTTTAAAATATTTCAAACAGTTCATTGTTTTGTGATTAGTTTGATTCAGGACGGGTTCAGAATTAAGGCTTTAAACTCTTGTCAAAGGTGATATTGGGGAGGATCGAACACACGCTCTCACCTCCACCCGCTCAACTCCCATGTGCCAAGTGAGCTATCACCATTTGATAATTAAGGA